CACATATAGTTTTGATTTGTATGAATATCCAGACTAAGCAGATTTCATTAGTAGTAGTAGTAGTAGTAGTAGTAGTAGTAGTAGTAGTAGTAGATTAGTGGTTGCCAGATATGGTCCAGAAACAGAAAAAGGAAACAAAAATTGGGAGGCAGGGAAATAGCATGATGGGTGGATATCATAAAAGCACCCAGCTTTTCTGTAGAGGGAAGGGATTTGAGAAGATCAGAGAGGAACTTGGGAGACTTGAAGAGTACAAAGGGGAAGTGAAGTCAAAGGGAAGGAAAGACATTTGCGCTGGGAGTTTCTGTGGTTATCCCATATTCTATTTTAATACTCCAATTTACATGTGGGGGGGGGCTGTGTGGAGGGAGCGAGGCGTGTTCTCCCAAAAGGTCTAACAAGTGGACATCACTTAGCCAGGATCCTAGAACACATTAACATCAATCCAGTGCAAACCCAATTCTGTGGTGGTAGCAGAAGACCAGCAATAGAATTGCATTTACTAATCCTAGGCCTGGAGCCTAGGGCTGGAGCGATAGCACAGTGGGTAGGGCGTTCGCCTTACAAGCGGCCAACATGGCCGACCCGAGTTCGATTCCTCCGCCCCTCTCGGAGAGCCCGGCAAGCTACCGAGAGTATTCGATATGCCAGACACAGTAACAACAAAGTCTCCAATGGAGACGTTACTGGGCCCGCTCGAGCAAATCGACGATCAACGGGAGGGCCTTTACCTTTACCTTTTTTTACCTTTAATCCTAGGCCTGATGCCTTTACACATAACCACCTAGATCCAGGTGACCCCAAAACTTCACACGGGACGTTTTCTATTAATCAAGAAGACAGAGTACAATGAACACAGCCAGAGTGGCAGAACCCCAAAGTTAACTGTGCTAAGTCCAAGCACTGCGCCTATCTTACTTCGACCCAACCACAAAGTAGTTTGTCCTTGTAACATGCTTCTTTCTCTACAGAAGAACCATTCTAGGAGAAACGCGCAGCTCAACATATGCTCTGTTAGCGGCTTTGGTTAAACATATACACACACCCAGAAAGAAATATGTGCAAAGCATTCAGATTATTCATGGGCTTCTGCCTCCTTAAATTGCACTCTGGAGACTGAAGCAGAACACAGAGGCAGTGATAGATATCACACAGTAGACAAAGAGCATATGAATGAGCTTCATTCTAGCAGGAAAGCAACTGTATACACGCAGGCATTGCCTCTCCTCCGAAAATAAAACCCTGCTACCCACACGGTAAATATTGCTTCAAACCCAGAGTCGGTCCAACAAATTCTGTGAATACACTCTTTAAAGTCACCCAAGACATGAAGTCTAAAACAAGTTACTTCTTTGACTCTCTTGAGTCTGGAGGAAGCAAACAATGAGGATCAAGATGACCATCAACTGTGACATATTCTAAAGTGTGGCAAAGAAGAACAAACCATCTGCGGTAGATAAAGAAACAAATCAAGGAAACAGGAAGCATCGAATGATGGACAAACTCTTGTCTTTGACTTCTAAACTGAGGTCACCAGGGGGAGGGAGTAAGAGGCGGGGGGAGAGGGAGGAGGGCCAGAAAAAGTGAACGAGAAGTAACACAAAGACTGTGGTGACAGGTCTTGGGCACTTTTGTGGTGGTGAAGTTGCAGAAGCTTTGTGCTACAAACCAATAAGCACTAACACTGTTGTAACTGACAGATCGTTCAACTACAGTAAAAAATTGTTTAATTTAATTTTATACAACACCCAAACTGTAAGCAATCTTGTTCCCTTCCTATTTATACTATGATACCCTTTCATTTATACTTGTGCTGAGAGCCAGAAATTTAGCTCAACAGGCTGGATCATGTGCATGAAGGAGGCCTGGGCTTGACCCCTGACACCACAGGGCTCTCAAAGCACCATCAGGAGCAATCCCAAGCACAAGGCAAGGAGTAACCCCTGAGCACTATAAGTATGGTCACAAAGCAAAAACAATAAAAAAATACTGTTCAATATTTTTGCTGTTTAACCTCAAGAAATCATTCCATCAATTATATCACTATATAGGCCTTCTGCTTCCTCAAGGTTGTAATGATTTAGTACGAAAAATCACATTTATACACTACATGGAAGCTATCGCAAATTCTTCTGATTTGCCAAGTAGCCCAGTTAGTTCAGTCCTCGGGCCCAGGGAGGACTAAGGCATGTGGTGCCAGGGATAGAACCCGGGTTGGCAGTATGCAAGGCAAGAGTCCTAGCTGCTGTACTATCACTGGCCAAGACTCAGCTCTTCTTAGGTTTCCCTCGTGCTTTATGGGAGAGTTTATCAACCTACCTATATGACCCCTCTGCCTGCTGTGCCTTGGACATATCCCTTCAAAATCTACACTGCTTTCCCATCCAAACTGGCGGCTCCCTGGTGCTTCATGCTCCCAGACCTAACACAGAACATGGTAAATGGCAGGTTCACAGATGCTTATGGGATGAAACCAATCAGTAAATCAACCCCATCAACCCTCTCTAATGTTTTAACATTTTTCCCACTTGCATTATCCTAAATGTTCCTGATCTCCCAGTGCATGAGTGATCTCCACGCCCTACCACTCTGTCCACTTCCTGATAGACAGGGATTTCTGATGATGCTATGCTGTTTAGGAAAATTTGTTTTACAAATAGTGAGATGGAAAAAGAAACTGTGGTACATCTACACCAACAGAATACTACTCGGCTAGAAGGAAAGGTGAAATCACGCAGTGTGCTGCTCTGTGGACGGATCTGGAGAGTATCATGCTTAGTGAAGTTGGAAGGAAGGAGAAGGACAGACACAGAATGATCTCACTCTTACGCAGGGTATAAAGAAACACAGTAAAGGAATAACAAATGGCCAATGCACAGAGGCTGAAAACTTATCTACAAAACTGAGCTTTCCAGGGGGACGGGGGGAGAGGGCAGTCAGTGGACTCTGGGGGGAGAGGGTGATACTGGAATGGTGCATACATGAAACTCTCCTACTAACAGTACTGGGTGCTTCAAATAATAATAATAATAATAAAAGAATAGTGAAGATGCTCTGGGAAGAAAGCGCAGGGATTGGGGCACATATGCGGGATCCAGAATTCTATTCCTAGTATCTCACAGACCACACTCCCCCAAATAAGCACTACCAGATGTGTGGTCCAGGTGACCATTGAGCACTTGCTGGGGCCAGCAGCACTGCATTGCTGGGCCCGAGGACTGAACTAACTGGGCTACTTGGCACCATTTCACCGAGTGTAGCATCCTGGTTTTCAAACATATTACTTGGGAGGTGCCCTCCAAAAATGAGAGTAAGAAAATTGCCACTCAACTGTACATCATGACTTTGTATATTCTGAACACAGACTGAAAATTACCTTTTCTCTCCAAATTCATAGCCTATAGGAAAATGGCATCTAGCGAAATGTCACCCAATCTCATCTGCTATTGATAGTGATATCAGATATCATGCTATAATTTGATATTTTCTAACATATCACTATAACAAAGAAAGAGTGCCTTTGGCAAAAAAGCAGGGTGAAATCATGAATCAAATTCATCACTCCAGAATAAATAATTTAGCACCACTTAAACTGTGAGAGCTTCGCATCACCTACCTTGTGGTTTATGGCAGTCTCTTCTAAGTTTACAGTTTCCCGATTGTGAAGCGACAATTTAATTCCATAGTGAAAAATCAATACAATCTAAATTTACTGCTGGAACTGACATTGTCTAGTCTAGCAAACTGAAAATGCACTTTCTACCGAGGTCAGTGTAAAGGTGTGTTTTACAAAGAGATCCCTAGGACTGTTCCAGAATTTAGAAATGAATCTTTTCTTTTACAGTGGACATTATAGGCACAGTCATTCCCTCTCCATGAACTGAGTGGGATCCCCAGGGCCACACAAGTTCCAACCATTCCACACTGGAATGCTCTTAACTGTCAGGGGTCTGGGTTTGAAATGTAAGATGATCTTTGAAATCCAAGGAACTGTGGTGGTAGCAGAAGATAGGCGACAGGCTTGAAAAAATACATTCTTTAGCTTGGGGGTATTGTTTCCTTTTTTTTTTTTTTTTCACTTTTAGCAACATACCAGGAGGTGCTCAGGGCTTACTCCAGTACTCCTGGCTCTATCTATACACAGGGGCCTCTCCTGGTGAGCTGTGGGGAATCACATGGTGTGCCAGGATTGAACCCAGATTGAACCGCAAGCGAGGGAAGGGCACTAGCCTCTCTATTATCCCTCCAGCCCCTAGCTTGGATTTTTAAATCGGGCAGCACCACTGCTCCTCTTTTTCACTCTAGTCGATATGACTACCACAACTACGAGCAAGAAGGTGAGGTTCTGCAAGGTGCGCTTCCTGTTCCAGTGCGATTTAACTGCACCATCAGGGACTATCGCTGAGTGGCCAAAGCTGGGGTTCAAAACCATCACTCTCCTAACCCTAAGAACAAAACAGGCTGGAAAGGGAACGAAGATGGGAGCGTGCGTGGACTCATTCCCGGGACAGGGAATATGTTCCCTTCTCTTTTCCCGTGCCCTGCGGGGGCCAGGCTGAAAAATGGGGAAGCAAAAGGGCGAGCTGGGTGAGTCGGAAACCTGAGGTTCCAACAAGCTCTGTGGGCGCATCAATTCCAGGTACACAACTCATCTCGGTCATCATCTAGGGAGGATGCATCTCATGCATCTCATTCAGTGGCCCGGGGCGACAACGGAGGGGGGGAGGGGGTTGGGGGATTTTTTTTTCTTTTTTTTTTAGCTAAAGCTGCAATATGATGCAATTATTTCTCGGCAGGTCCAAGCAGCCCCATTCCTCAGCGGACACCTGGGGTCCCCCCCATGCAGCCCCAGGACCGGGGCGCACTCCCGAGGGCAGCAGCAGCCAGGGGTAGGCCTGGGAGACGGCGCGGGAAGGCGCGACCTTCCGGGGACCCGCGGGGACGCCGCGCCTGCCGCGGGCTCAGCATCCTTCCTCCGGCCTCCTCCCGCTCCCGGGCACCCACCTTGGGCGTGCGGATGTGCTCCATGGCGGGCCCGCGTCTGCCGGGCCGGGCGGGGCGCGGCTCACGCACCTGCGCGCGGCTGCGGCGCGGCGGGAGCGCGGCGGGGAGGGGGCTGCGCGCCGGGAGCCGCGACCCCGGGCTCTGGCTCCGCCTCCAGGTGCGGCGGCGCCCGCGGCTCCCGCGCGGCCCTAGAGCGCGCTGCCCGCCTCCCGGCCACCTGCCCGGCCCCCCGCCCGGGCCTGGGTCGGAGCCGCTCGCCTGCTAGCGGGGCGCCAGGCTGGGGCCTCAGCGGGCCCGAGCACACCGGGGGTCCTTGTGCTGTGGGTTCTGGGAGGAGAGGGACGGGGAGTGAGCCCCGGCTGAGGGTCGCGGGGTAGGTGGCACTTGGGAGCGGGGCGAAGGAAGGCGACCCGACCCGGGGCATTTCTGAGCCGGGGTAGCCCTCTGCACATCGCAGCGGCCAGCAGCCAGCCGGAGGCCGGATCCTCTTTGGAACCAGGATGGAAATGATCCCTGGAGTCCCAGAGGGCCCCTGTGGAGTCAGGCATTCCGCCTTCACTTGCGATTTCACTGCTGAAACTGTCAGGGGAGAGTGGAGCCGGGTGCTTTCCTTTGGTGCGGTGCTGAGGGCGCCTTAGCCGGCTCCACTAGTCCTAACGGGACTGCAGGATGCAGACACAAAGCATCCATTAAACGATGCGGTTTTCCCATGATCGTTGTGAGTCTTAAGTCCTTGGGGAAAGCCAAAGAGAAGAAATCCCCCCCCCCCATCCTTTGTTTCTGTTTCTTTCTCCTCGGAAGCCTAACTGCTAGACTCTTCCCCCATAACATATAACATATAACATATCACATAACATAGACTCTTCCCCCATAACATATAACATATAACATATAACATAACATATAACATAGACTCTTCCCCCATAACATATCACATATAACATATAACATAACATATAACATAGACTCTTCCCCATAACATATCACATATAACATATCACATAACATAGCCTAAGTGCTTCCCCCATAACATATATAACATATAACATAACATATAACATAGACTCTTCCCCCATAACATATCACATATAACATATCACATAACATAGCCTAAGTGCTTCCCCCATAACATATATAACATATAACATAACATATAACATAGACTCTTCCCCCATAACATATCACATATCACATATAACACATATATCACCCATAACATATCACATATAACATATAACAGTCCAATGCATTGTTCTTGGGCACGTCAGTGTTGTCCTAGTTCTTACTCCTCTCTCTTTGCAACTATAGTGTAAATTCTTTGAAACAGAAACTGTGTTTTACTACTTTACCCCTAGTAGGCACATTGCAACTTTCAATTAAATATGTTTATTCTCTGCTTCCCTTTCCTTTTTTTATTTGTATTATTGTTGTTTGATGCTGTTACTGGTTTTGGTTTTTTGGGGGGTGGGGCACACCTGGAGGTGCTCAGGGCTTCCTTCTGGATCTGCTCTCTTGGATCACTCCTGGCAGGGCTCCAGGGACTATATGGAATACTAGAAGTCAAGCCCAGGTTTTCCGTGTGTAAAGCAAGTGCCATACCTACTGGACATTCTCTCCAGCCCCTGGTTGATGATTCTGATGACCAAGTGCCCACACGCTGGGTTACATCACGGATCCCAATAGAAGTGCTGCCAAGATGGCACTGCGCATGTAGGGTGATGCCCGAGATCTGACTCGCACACCTTTGCCATCGCCAGACCTATAGATGTCTGCTAATCCTCGAAGTTGAACTTACACTTTTAAGTGCCCAGATCTCCTCCACATAGGTCACTTTGTCCTCCGGTTACCCTAAAAGGTAAAAGGCCCTCCCGTTGATCGTCGATTTGCTCGAGCGGGCCCAGTAACGTCTCCATTGGAGACTTTGTTGTTACTGTGTCTGGCATATCGAATACTCTCGGTAGCTTGCCGGGCTCTCCCAGAGGGGCGGAGGAATCGAACTCGGGTCGGCCTTGTTGGCCGCTTGTAAGGCGAACGCCCTACCCGCTGTGCTATCGCTCCAGCCCACCCTAGAAGATAATTAGAACAAATACTCTAAACTGACATGTAGTGGGACACAATTGAGCAGAATGTCTTTTGTTAGTGAAGAGCACCAGGAACAGAGTCAAGAGCACGTCAATTCCCTTTCAGGCGCTGGCCTCTGTCCCCTCACTTGGCAAGTCAGCCTGCTTAGATGATCTCAGTGGTCGTTTCATCTCCAGATTCCATCGCTCCTGGGAATCCTTTACCTGTTTGAGGAACAGACATTCTGAATTTGCTAATCAGTGCTTTCTGGGCTCTTCTATTCCTCTTCTGCTCTGCTAATCAAGATTACTTAGTATCCCTTAGGTTTTCGTATGTAAACTTTTCTGTTGGCTTGAATATTAGCATAAGGATCACGATCACAATCACTATCACCCTGTTGTTTGTTGATTTCCTCGAGCAGGCACCAGTAACGTCTCCTTCTTCCTAGCCCTGAGATTTTAAAAGAGCCATTTCAATGCTCTTTCAGGATTAGGAGGATGAGACCCATCATTGTTACTGGTATTTGGCATATTGAGTACAACACGGGAAGTTTGCCAGACTCTGCCATGAGGGCAGGATACTTTTGGTAGCCTGCCAGGTTCTCCAAAGGGTTTTTTTCTGGGGCGCGGACCCAGTACTCCGAGGCGCTCCCGTCCCCCTCTCATGCGTAAGGATAAGGATAATTCTTTAAAAATAAGTATCCAAACACTGGTGAGTAGAGGGAAAATCCATCTAAACAATTTAAATAGTCTAATGTTAAGAAGACACTTTCAGGGCATTTTAAGAATTTATCTCCCATGAATCACAGCTATAAATTACATAGCCACAGGTTGAATTGAGACAAGGATTGTGTTCAAAATATTATAAAAAGTGAACATAGAATAAGATAGAAATAAAATTACAACAAAGAAATCTCTGTAAACAGACAGTTTGATTTAATTCAACAGTTCTGAGGAATCCTCAACTAGTCATGCATTCCCAGTTACTATTTAGACAATTAGATCACAAATCTTGACGATCGTAATGGCACTCTGTACTCTTATGCTGCCTCATACCCCATATTTCATTACTTCCTCAAATCACCACCCAGTGCGGCAAAGAATGAACAAAGAGCTAGAGTTGGAGAAGCCATGAAATGAGGAAGCCATGACTGCATTATTGAATTGATCCTAAGTAGGGCAAAAAGTGAAACCAGCCATTCATTTAAGGAAGAAATACTGCTACTGATGAACTGATAGTCAAGCCAAGATATCATGGTGGTATCTTTTTATCAGAAAATAAAAACTAAGTTCCATGACAGTGATATAGAAAAACCAAGGACATGAAAAGTAGAACCATTTAAGATAGTAACAGTTCAAATAGAAATAGTAAAAGAAGTCTCGGAAGATTGATCTAATCTCTGTTTTCCGTGTCAATCATATAGAAAATAACAGGCAGTCTCTGGATTAAAAGTAAAAGGTAAAGGCCCTCCCGTTGATCATCGATTTGCTCGAGCGGGCCCAGTAACGTCTCCATTGGAGACTTTGTTGTTACTGTGTCTGGCATATCGAATACATCACGGGGAGCTTGCCAGGCTCTGCCGTGCGGGCAAGATACTCTTGGTAGCTCGCCGGGCTCTCCGAGAGGGGCGGAGGAATCGAACTCGGGTCGGCCATGTTGGCTGCGTGCAAGGCAAACGCCCTACCGCTGTGCTATCGCTCCAGCCCTAAATCTCTGGATTATATCTTTTTTTTTTTTTTGAAATTTGCCATCTGGTGTTTGTGTGGAAAGAACCACAAGTCATTTGAATGGATATTGCTTCTCTGTAGTCTTCACAGTTCCTTGTTGGCCCCAGTAGCAAGAAGAGAAAGGGGGAGGGAAAAAATTATTTTAACACTTAATATTAGCAGGTGGATCCATACTCAGACTTACAGTAAATTGCCTGTACCCAGTGGAAATGGTCGCTTTCTCTGAAATTTGTGAATCCTATGCTACCAATAGTATACATTAGCAAGCTATACTACCAATCAAAATATTAGACAATAGGGTTAATATTTCATGATCTGCATATTCATCAAAGAACTTCTCCCCTTCCGAGCACATTATGGTCTCTTATTTGATCAAAACTACTTTTGATTATGCTGTTGTAGAAATTATGCTGTATGATAGATATGACCACATAATCAATATTGAATTTCTGTCCTTTTTAGGTATGAAGATTGCACTTTCAATCTTGTTACTGTGATGTGCAGGAAATGTTACAGTGGAAATAAGAAGGCAGGGTACAGATAATCAAGATTCTTGATTGGTCCCTTAAATACATATTTGATCATAATTATTGTCTTACAAATCCTTATTTACATAAGGCCATATAGGTCTGATTGTTCAAGTTAGCTGATCCTTAGTTGCATAGGGCATAACCAATCAGATAGCAGAAAACACCTTAGAGGCAGGGATATATAGTTTAAAAATACATAAACATAGGTCACTGTGTTGTGTGTGGTGGCAATTAAGGGTTGCTGTCTTGGGTATGGAGGTTGCTCTCACTATTGCTGAAGATTACAGAAAAATCAGACTGCAAAGATTTCCCTACGTGAGCTGTAAAATAGGGTTGTAACACTGAAGACATCCGGTGGTCAGCATTCTATTTTTAGCCACAGTCCACAAGAAACTAAAGTTCTTCAGACAGGGTGTAATATATGTTTTTACTTTGTAAAAGACCAATTCTGCCAATGTACTGTAAGGCAAGATATATGTTAACTTTGAAGCCAAAGCTATACTCAAGACCTCGGTGATCCTTAGTTTTTCCTTCCCCTGTCTTCTTATTTGGACATTATACGTTGTTATTAAAGATAATGATGAAATGCATTCGAAATACATATAAGTCTATAGAACCAATTTATCATTAGATTAAAACAAATTCAAATTCTGTTTTTTGAGTTATTGCTTGGGAACCACTCTTAAAAAAACACAGAAGATTCTTTTGAGTAGAAAAGAACACTTTTTGTGGTTCTTGCTACGTAAGAATTTGTTAAAAAATTTTTTTCACTAGCCTAGCCTGACTATAGACAAGAGGAAT